GCTAACACATATCAATATATTCTCTGTAATTCGTCAACTCTGGCATGTCTAAAGCAGAAAGAGCACTGTCTTATATATATTATGTAATATGTCTGTTTGATCTTCTTTAAAGTTAAATTCTGATCGAGGCCGTTCAACTCATATACTTGACAATTTTAAATGAATCGGAATATTAAACGAATAAAGATTACTTCATGACTGTATGTCACAATGCGATTTAAGGTTAAATTCTCAACAGCATCTATAACATATTCTAACAAAATAAAAAAAAAGATCTTAACTTAATTTTTCCTTTAATTAGAAGTCGTATGTTATGACTTCAAGTCAATAACAATATCTCTAGAAAATTGATGACTTGTTGTTTCAATTTTTCAAGCGCACATTCGGCTAATCTGTTTGTCCTTATTTAATTTCATTGTTAGCGCCCAGGGAATCCTGATGAATCGATTAAGAGGTTTTTAAATACCATGATAGGATCAAACAGGAACACTCATCATTGATTGTTTTCTTCTCACTGAACAAGATTTTTTAAATTGTTTCCTGCATTTTTTAGTCAAAAGATTTTAGTAACACTGGGGAGTGAGGGAAAAAGTGATAAAGTTGCAACATCGAACATGTCAAGGTTGGGGATATAGAAAGCCAATAGGCGGCGTATCAAGTGTAATACATATGTTTTTTACATGAGCATGTGTCATAAGGATAATTTGCTCATTGTATGAGGTACTGATTGTAAGGAGATATATTTGCTCAACACTAGATCAGGTTAGTCCTTTACTTTTCTCAATACTTCACAAGTTGGACATTTTTTAACTTCATAATTAAATGATGATGAAAAATTTAAAGCAAATTCCAGCTTTAGCAAACCAATATACCAATAAAAGTGTGTGCAGTTTGATGGATTTCTGTTTATATTACTGTCATTCTTTAATTAAAGCATAATCTACAACCTTAAAAAAGCACATGTGCATGATCATAAGAAAATTCTTTTTTCCCAAATATACAAGGTGTTTATGGAAATCCCCAGTGTTTCAATGATCATCATTGGGAACACTAGCGGCCGGTGTTAACACATTTCAATATAATCTCTGTATTTCGTCAACTCTAGCATGTCTAAAGCAGGAAGAGCACTGTCTTATTTATGTAATATGTCTGCATATATGTTTGATTTACTTTCAAGTTGAATTCTGAGGCAGTTCAACTCATATATTTGCCAATTTTAAAGGAATTGGAATATCAAATAAATAAAGAATACTTTATGATTGTATCAACTTCTGATCTTACGAAGAACATTGTCATAAGATTTTCATCAGTCTTTAATTTTCTTTTTTCAAGGTGTAAACACATCGTATAACACACGTGCACTGGTGGGTTGGGTAGGGGGTGTATGTCTCAATGTGATTTAAGGTTAAATTCTCAACAGCATCTATAACATATTCTAACAAAATAAAAAAAAATATCTTAAATTAACTTATTTTTTTCCTTTATGACTTCAAGTAAATGACAAAATCTATAGAAAATTATAGATGATTTGTTTCAATTTTTCAAGCGCACATTCGGCTGATCTGTTTGTCATTTTCTAATTTCATTGTTCATGTTGTTAGCGCCCAGGGAATCTTGTAGAATCGATTAAGAGGTTTTTAAGTGCCATGATAGGATCAGATAAGAACAACTGCATCATTGATTGTTTTCTTCTTACTGAACAGGATGTTTTAATTGCTTCCAGTATTTTTTAGCCGATAAGATTTTTGAATACACCAAAAAGTGAAATATACACCAAATGTTTTCCTTCCTATGGAGACCTCGTAAGAAAATGTTACAAATGAATTTGTGTATACAGGTCCATCACACAAAAAATTAAAACATGAGATAAATCATAGATGTAATTCCTCAAAACGTCTAAATCAAACATCCACGGTCACTAAAACAGCTGTTCATACCTTGAGTTGAGAATGTTCCTCTTTCTTTTTATTGATTTTCATATGAATTAAGGGTAAAGTAAAAGGCCATGATAAATATACTGTTCTTGTAACGAGTTCTACATTTCTTAATATTAAATTCATCTCGTACGATATACATGCATTTAATATTTAAACATATGCCTCATATTTTCGATCAGGTCCTGCAAATTTAGACCTTACCAAGATGACCATTGAAATGACCTTTTACCTATTAGCGCTTAATATTAGAAATGAGACTTTGGTTTATATGGCCACCAAAATATCTCTATGTTATCCTCTCTGGATTGGAACCAGCAATTTATTGATCGATACAACTACGCCAAGTGGGTAATCTCTCTTCATAGTGGAATTTGTTGACAGTGCAATATCAAAATAAAAGTTATATTTCTTTAAATCTTTAATAAAGTTGCACAATCTGTGAAATGTATTCTTTCATGTTTCTCGATTCTGTGTTTTCTTTTGATCTAATTATAAAAAAGTTTTAATAATTATAAGCTGCACTGCTAATTTACATGATTGTACATATGTACATTTTATGCCGCGGTAATCGAGAGTATTACATTTTTTCCAACTTCAAAAAAACTTTGAACTTTTGTAATAAATCTGGAGGCTTTTGACTGTAGTTACCTCGTGTATATCCTTTGTACAATTAATGTATATAATAGTATGTATTGAGACTATTCTATAGGATCTAACTTCAAGACACTTTTGGTCTAGAAATTAGAGTATGGTGTCTTTAAAAAACAGAAAAAAACAATCCTAAACCATAGCTTTAAAGTTTTTTTCTTACTTTGGAAAAACTTCAACATTGGTCATATTTTCTGAATGAGTATTGGAGCGACCTTTCTTTGGGTATCAACATTTTTGAACAGAGTATATGATTGTATTTGGAATTGAATCTACATAATTTGTAACCTTGGCTTTGAGCAGCCATACAGTAACATAACTGGTCTTAATTCTATAAATATATTTAAAAAAAATTAAACAGGCAAAACTTGTGTTAGGAATAGGAATGTTTAGAAAAAAAATAGCATTTTCTTTTGTTGCTGCAAAAGTAGCACTGTTTTGTAAAAGGAGATATCATATGGAACATTATTTTCTTTAAGCAACACTTAGCACAAATTTGCATAACAATGAATATTCCACGACTTGCTCGCATCTGCACGATTATGATACCAACAAATACTTAGAAAAGCTTTATATTTTTAACTTGGATACATTGTGACAACAAAGTCTATATAAGAGATATAATTTTTAACTTGGGCATTCAGTTAACTGAAAGGCAAAGCTCTGCCAATCAGTGTAGCCAAAGACCAGTCTACAATCTTATGTCCTGTTGAAATAGGCTAAATAATTAAACAACACTTTCTTTACACCATAAATTATACCATTTAGTACACTCCCATATGCTTGTATCTAAGTGAAATGTGATTCTAAAATATACTGTAGGATTGAACATGTTGAACTCATTTTTAAATATCCCCAGTAAAACATTCCCTATAAAAATGTTATAAATTTCCATCATTTAAAGATCGCTGGCAATATATGTGATTTTATGAGAGAAAAAATACCATAACTTTTGACCAGGAATGATTACTTACTTATTTCCGTATAGTTGTTTTTCTAAATTAATGAAGATCACATTACACTTTAAATCCATATAACAGTAAACTGTCACTCAAAATTTTTACTACACTTACATTTAGAGCAAATTTTAAAATAAAATCATTCAAAGTTAAACACTACTATATTGAGATATTTTTAGGCTGGAAAAACTCAGCTAAATTTAGATTTTGAAAATCCCCAATCAGTGGGTAGCTTGGAAAGTCTCAGTCTTATGATGTCATCTTCAAGAAACTACTGATATCCATAAAAAAAATGCATGAAAGACTTAAGATGTGCAATTCAAAATGGATTAGATTGGATCAATATTTTCTTTTTGAGTATCTAGCTATAGAGTAACATGAACCGATAAGGGCAATTTGCATGTACCTGCTGTTTCAGATATCAAGTTTTTCTTTAGCACGGGTATTGGATCTTAAAGACAGCAATGTGTATCAAAGGTTAAATTAGAAATTGACAATAGACAAAAGTTGTTTTGTTTAATCAGGCTTTATGCTAAAACATATATACTTTTGGTATACCTGTGTGTGAAGGTAAAGGTACATGTAAATAACCTGGAATGAAAGAAAAAAAGCTCTTATTAAATAAAGGGTGAAGATAAATAGCATCCTCGGGTGAATGGACAATTCAGAATTTAACTATTTCTTAAAAATATCATGAACTCAATCATGTGTTTTACATTTCCAGAAAGCCACTCCATGTTAGAGTGCCTGAGTGAATTGCCATCCATTTCAGGTTAGAATTCTTAACGTGTGACCATTGTGATATATCTAGGAAAGAAGTCATCCCCCTCTGATCAACTCGAGAGCTTGGTGAGTTCACAATAGTTTTATACTTGATACATGCTTGTTCTATTTCAATCCTTTTTTTTTTTTTTTTAGAAAATATAAGACTTTCATCTTTTGTTCATAGAATATCCCTTTATATATTAAACAATAAGCTAGAGAGGCAAACGCTATTTTCGGTATATTTACTATATCAACACCGGAGTATTGAGGTGAAATGGTGATCCGTGTCATTTCATGTTATTATCCCGCATTACCTTCGTTTACATTTTAAAAAAGAATTCAATACTTTTGAGTTGTTTATCTTACTTAAGAAAATTGCACAATTTAGACCCTAGAGAAACCTTCATTCATTCATATATCCATATTTGCTGTAATACAATATGATATAGCTCATTCTTATATTCAACACCCCCTTTTATTCATGAACTAGAGGCGCTAATGTCATTTTAAACCTTTCCATTGTACGAAAACAGTCATGAAATCAGATGAGGAATATCGGTATTTTCTAATCCAATGCCTTTTTAAAATGTGATCATCGCGCTATTTATCCATTACATCAAACCTCATCTGTTATAAGCTATTGATATCATACTGTCGGTATACCTTTTCTCCAATAAATTAAACAAGATCAATAAATACAAACTTCTTTATTTTGTCAAGCAATCCACTCATATTTGTGAAGAATTGCAACCATGTCATGAAAATAATAATTGCACAATAACTATACAATTGATATTTAAGTACATTTGTATAATTATATAACAATTTACACTCAATTATTCATGTAACTATGTATTACATTATAATAGTAACACATCAACACATGAAATACAGTTTTTAAATAATTTTTCCTGTTGAAATATAACAATTCCATGTTGATAAAAGGGTACATGTAGAGAATATGTCAGATGGTCTCATGTGTATTTGAAATATTCCTTCTTCCCTTGTGTGAGTTTAATTTTTCTATTTCATGATATACATGTATAAATTCACATAATTGTGATATCATTAGAATACTATAACTTTTAATTTTGTATTAACAAGCATATAAACATATATGTACAGTGAAAAAAGCATCTACAATTCCATGTTGATAAAAGTGTACATGTAAAGAAGAGAATATGTCAGATGGTCTCCTGTGTATTTGTAAAATACCTTCTTCCCTTGTGTGAGTTTAATTTTTCTATTTCATGATATACATGTATAAATTCACAAAATTGGGATATCATTAGAATACTATAACTTTTAGTTTTGTATTAACAAGCATATAAACATATATGTACAGTGAAAAAAGCATCTTTTCACGAATTTATTAGGGGAAAAACTATCAAATTGGACAAAAACAACAATTAACTATTCAACAAAATGAAATTATAGCTAATTAAACAAGTACAAATGAATAAATTAAAAAAAAAATAACCTACTGATTAGTAGCAATATGAACATTAGTATCCTATGTACAAAGCAGCAAGGATGAGTAAATGCTTGGCAATGCAAAGGATGATGGATATATATAACTATAAAATGAGATGTTCACTATAAAGCAGCATATTATTCATAAAGCCTTCTCAAATGTGTAAACAAACCATACTGATTGAAAAGAAAAGGTATAGTTGGCCAAATTTTGTCCCTCAGTAGGCATTAAAATTGCTGATTACTTTGAATGTCATTCAATAAAAGGGGCAAAAAAGGTCCTTAACATACCTAGTTCTTAAAATCTGCATGAGATAAATGAAATGTGTACATCTTCTCTTTGCTAGACTCATTGTTTGAAGTTATTCGGTCAGCTTGCCTGTTTGCTCACAATAAATTACACTTTACATATTCCATCACCTTGCTTCTTTGGTCAACTAAACAACATCCTTTTATTCAATAAATCCTATCTAAATCTGTTTATTCCTTTTCTGTGAATTGAAATAAATTCTAATTTTTTTTTTCATGAATAGGTTATCAAAATAAAATTGATATAAGTGACAAATATGTTCTGATAATATGATCAATTAAATCAAAAATCAAGTTTTGTTATTATAATTATCTGAAAAGTGCATAAAAAGTGACTAACATGGTTTCTGTAAAAGTGCCTTGAAATTTGATAAATATAGTTTTGTTAAAAATATTAAGTTTTTAGACAATATCATATTACAATGTTCATGTGTAAATATGTATAACATTGAAATATGCTATTTCTTTGAAATGAGGGATTTAGTCTGTAGTTGAGCAAAACTGAACATTCAACATACATAGTCTTTCATAGCTAAAATATGGACATTTAGCATATTTGGTAAAGCATAGCTATAAACCAAGCTATAGCAGTAAAACCCATTGTCCAATCAGGCTCTTACATTGCCATTCTTTCCTTGCAACTAAACTATTAACTTATCATCTTATGCTAGAAACAATTGTTCTATTTCATCAGTTTTTCCTACATTTTGTCCATGTTGGTAAATTTGTAGATCAAAGTCTAGGTATTTTTAAGTCCAGATAGAGATTGTAATTTCTTTCACACACAATGCTAGTTACTTTCATTCTACATCATAGAGACACATGTATCTTTAATAACTCCTCCTATATTTCCTTTAGCCTTGAAGATTAATTCTTTCACTTTACTGGGCGTTTGACCCTCCAAGTTGTAATTTTGTCCATTGCCCCCTACTCACCACGGGGAGGTGGAAGATGATCGAGTAGGATAATCGTGATGAAGAGATCTGATGAGAGCATATATATACACTTGCATGTACCTAAAAATAAATAGTTTATACTTTTACATGTTCCTAGGTCTTAAATATATGTACCCAAACCCAAAATTTTGAAAAATTCAATGACATATTTTGGTAATTTTTTTATATCAAAAAAATCACAAATGATTCTCAACAAGTGCTCAAGTAAGACATGGCTAATACCAACATATAATGATAACATATTCCTTATAAACTAAATAAACTACAGCTCAATGCAACTCACATGGTTTTTCGCACAAATTAAGGTCACATTGTCTTAATGCAAAATTGTTTGAGGAATTTCCACCCTCACAATTTTATAGGTTCAAAGTACAAAAACTGCATTTATTTTCATTCAATATACTTTAAACTTTTCATTTATTGCGAAAAAATGTATAGGTCACCATATTATTTAAGATGCGAAACATAAATAAATGGAATTGTATGTCCACATAAAAAATTGTACATTTTTTGTAAACAATATTGAGAAAATATGTAAAAACTGGTTAAAATGCATTATTCTGATGCTGAGTGTTCCTAAATACTTCCTGCTTAAAAGATACTTTTGAATTGTGAATGTCAGGTAAACTAATTTACAGTAAAGCAAATGCCAGAATGAAGAGACCTTAGAAGGAGTTATTGCCCTTGTCAACATTTATCAAAGATTGAATAATTGATTAATTATAGAAAATATGCATTTTTTGAATTCTTTAACTGAACTATATTTATCATAACACCTATTGTAAAGCATTCTTCCAAGAGATATTTTTCTATTAGATGTGAATTTAAACTAATACAGTTTTTGCAAAAACTTATGAGATCATAGGAGGGTGGAATTACTTAAAGGTGAAAACAAAATATATTTTTAAAATGATTTATAACTTAATTTTGATCATATTCCATTACTTTAAACATAATTCACACATAATAATTGGTAGAATTTTAATATGCTCTTGGATGATATATATAATGAGAGTTAAATGTTTTTTTTCATGGTTTCTCTTCAAATGCAACCATCTTTGTATCCATTCATTTTAAAGCATACTTTTGCCTTGCCTTCGTACAGAAACAGTGCAGTTCATGTAACTTCTGTATTTTCTGTACTTTAATATGACACTATTGACTAAGGTGCAAGATGATAGAAGTATTTCTCATTTGTTTGACTGCTTTCCATGTTAAGAAGATGACATTTTTTCAGGTTAACTTCCTGAAATCTAGCATCATGAAAGTTACCTATTAACACAAAATTTCAAAGTTTCAGACCATAAATGTAAAAAAAAAAAAAATACTTTTCAATATTTACAATCTACTTTGTTGAAAGATAAACAATACTTTATTATCCTATCCTTTCACATGATTTCTTTATGCAGCTTTGTCATTTTTCTGCACTGCATTTTGACAAAATCATGACAAGTATCGAAAATGTGCAAAGTACCTAGAAAAATACTCATCTGTAAGAAGTCAATTTGAGGATTTCAACCAAAATAGTATCAAAGAAAGTTCAATTAATTAATTTGTAAATACCTATGTAAGAATCAAACAAATTTAACATCATATGATTTATAAACAAATTCCTTTTAGAACATTGACTTTTAAAACTTAAGATAATGATTTTAGAGAATATGCACCTTTAACATAAAATATTTCATAATATAAGGCCTGTACCTCTTACTGAAACTCGATAATTTTAAGTTTTATTGCAAGAAAAATGTGACTTTAATTCGAATCAGGGGTTTAAAATACGGTGGTCCAAGCTCCATGACCCAAAGTTTATGGGGGAGAACTAGCTAATTGTTACCTTCAAATTAGTCAAATAGTCCGTGGGACTAGTAGTTTTGAGAAAAAAAAATTTTAATCCCATGATTTTAATGGGCCCATTTCAGAAATTCTGTCCCAGTCCCAAATGAAAATATGCCTATATTTTCCCTAAATGTAATGGAAGTTATCTCATAAAAAACTTACGAAATATGCGATCAAATTCAGTTTGTTTATTGCATGTTTTAAAGTAGAGTTCAAACAGGGTTTTGTGGTTGTTCAGCCATGTTGGAGTTTTCTTCATTAGTTAATTCATACCATTATTGTTTTTGATGCAAGTAATTAGATAATTCATACCAAGAATAGTCTTGATTTGTGATAACAATTGTTTGTTTAAGTACTACAAAGACAAAAACAAAGCATTCTGACAATGCTGTTTTAATGTCTGGGTTTTCTGGAAGATTCCCCAAGTAATTAAGCCAAATTGAAGCTGAAATTCCCAATTCTTAGGGCCGAAGCCCCCAGTCCCAAAGTACTGACAGAAACCCCCACTGTAATCAAATTAAAAACTGGTTAAAACTAAGCATGTTTTTTGATAACTTTAGACCAGTAATTTTATAATATGGACTTGTGAAATTTACTAGCTTAATAGTCCTTGGACCAGAGAATTTTTATGGAAAATTTAACCCCCCTGATTTTTGCAAAAAACCATGTTAAAAAGTCTGTTGAACTGTAAGTATAAAGACCACAAGATGCCAAAAATAAAGTATAGATAATTTGATAGAACATTAATTCTGTGTATAGGATAACCAAGCTTTTTTTCTAACCAACTTACAGTATATTTCTACTTACCAAGAGTCATGAATTAAGCGAAGTAAGTTTTGACTGTGCCCTTGATGAGTTCTGCACAGAGGGGGCACCTCCTCATGGCAGGGGCACAGTCCAGACAGCAAACTAAGTGACCGCAGGGCAGGAAGGCGGCGGCCACATCCTTGTCACAACACACCTTACACACTATAGTCTCTGTCAGACCTAGGAAGTCCTCCTGTAGTACCTGCTTCTCTGTAAAAATAAACAAGAAGTATCTGTAAAACATGAAGTGCACAGCAGCAACAAAGTTGAAAAAAGCTATTTTTAACATAAAGATCACAAGGCCATTGACCTTGGTGTCATTTGAAAGAACTCAATTAGTGAAGTTTGAATATCAAATATGCACTCTCTATATCCGATGGGTCAAAAGTTTTGGTGAATATTCAAAAAGCTATTTTTAGCATATAGTTCACAGTCAAGGTCACATACTAAATATGAATTCAAGTCTCTATCTCTCATGGTTCAAAAGTTATGGCAAAGGTTAAAGTTTGCAGATAAACACACATATAGACAGCACAAAAACATTATGTGCCCCCAATCTATTGATCAGGGTGCATAAAAACCCTGAAATTAAGAACTAGAATGGATGTATTCAAAACACCTAGAGGACCCTCATTCCCCTTAAAAAAGCAAACTCTGATAAAATGTGATTTTTGGAAAAGCACATTAATTTGAATTGAGACAGAAACAACCCCCTCCCCCCAAACTACTCAACTACCCACCCCTATCCTTCAAAAGTGCAATAAAAGCCTGAATTTCATTATCTAAATATGTAACAAATCCAGATATTTGGCTTTGATATACTTAGCATCAGACAGAAGATGATCTAAATACTCTAACATTTTTGTTCTACACACATACAGAGGAGAGACAGATAGAAATATGGACATACACAGTAATTTCAATAATATTCCAACAACCAACCCTACAACTGCAGGTTTATAAATCATGCTCAATTGATACAATTGAGGCATATTCTGAGATAGCTGTAGTGAATTAGACTATTTAAGCCTATAAGCCATGTAGCACATGTAGCTATAATCTTTACCTTGTTTTTCTCTTTGATCATATCCATATTCTCTTGGTTGATTATCCAGTCTTGCATCTGTCCGATTTTCTACATAATTAAGAACATCAATTCAAGATTATTTCACATGTAGGTAAAGGGGAAGAACTCTCCAGTTTTTAAAGGCAAATATGTCATCCTGATTTAAATAGGTTACACTTATCTAGTATAAAAGTATGGCCAAACAGAGCAGCCCTTTACAACAACAAAGCAACAAAGTTATAAAAGATTTCTGCTAATTAAACAAAATAATTTATTAGGTTGTCCATAATTTCAAACCTTACTTTCATGTTAAATATATTTACTTCATTCTAGCATGTAACCTTTAACCTATAATTGTTCTCTCCACAGGATCCAATTTATTTATTTAAAATTAATAATATTTTATTCTAATTTTTGTTGTTTCCAATAATAAGTCACTTCCCAAATCAGCACATCACATACATTTAAATGTAATACTGAGATATTATGAGGAGTTATCAAACTTTAAACAATATACGGCAATATATTTACCGAGCATTTACCCATTTCAAGATCATTTACCTGAACAATTTTAATGGATAACATGTCAATATAATTGGAAATCCCAAAACTTAATTCATTTAAATTTCACTTATCATTCAAATGAAATTAAAGTCGTAATTACAAAACTTGAAATAACTTTTCTCAACGAAAAAGGTATAGCTACGCTGCTACATGTACAAGATACTGCATTTATAGTATATTAAATCATACACAACCATTGTAACAAAACAATGTCTTACCCTCTAGTGCTGATGCACCTACAGAGGTCATGCTCTCAGCGGTATTCCCAGAATTCACTCTGTTCACCTCCCCAGCAGAGGGGTCAATTCCTACAATTCATGACATCATAAGTAAAAAATAATTCTAAGAATAAGAAAGCTATACAACAGGATATCTAGACCTTGTCTCAGAACTGATACTTATTGCCTTAAATAAAAATTAAAGTAACTCGATTACAAGGAAGTTACTTTCAGATGGATTACTCAAAGAATTTTTTTTCAGAAAGATTTTCAAATGTGAGATGCAAAGATAAGATAATCTGCAATTATGTCTGGGTTTTCAAGCAGGAATTTAAAGGGAAAGGCTGGGAAGGAAATTATCAATGACATATGCTCCATACATCATTTGTAGTCAATGGACTAGTTAACTTGACCACATTAGAGTCACTGCTGTTACCTGGTATTGTTAAGGGGGTCTCCCCCGGCCTCTCTGTGTTCTCTTGATCTTGACTCTCCAGTATCTCTATGATGTCTAGTATGGCAGACGCAGTCATGGGTGGAGGGTGTCTTCTTCCTTCAAAGTTAAAGATTTTTACATAATATTCTATTGGACACAAAATCAGTAAACAGGATGCATTTTTTGCATTGTCCTTAAAAAATGACCAAAATACTTGTAGTTTTTTGCCCTTGTAAACAAATTCAGGGGTACATAGTTAATGCTCTGTTTGTCCGAAAAGAAACTTTAACCTTGCTTGTAGTTTTTGAGTAGGTGAGCATATGACACAGGAGTATTCCTCATGACAAGACCTTGCTTTTGGTACCACCAAATCTGACCTTTTGACCTTGGAGTTTGACTGACTTTAAAAAATATCACACTCTTGCCATAACTTTTAAATGGTTGGTACTGGGACTTTCATTTGTATTCTGTGTGACAAGACCTTTGGACTCTTAACAACTTTGACCTTTTGACCTTGACCTTGGTAGATTGACTAATAGGTTAAGAGGGCTGGACTCTATATAATCTTACCAGGTTTGAGGTTTCTCCTCCAGTTATTCATGGATCTCTGTATAATCTGGTTGGTGTATCCCATCTCCCTCAGGGCCTGGGCTATTGCAGTCTCCTCATCTCTCTCTGTTTACAATAATATAAGATAAAAATGTATATATTGGTATAATATTGCCCCTCGAGAAAAACCCAGATTTAAGCTGGTACTGCTGTCAATGTGGCCTTCCTAATTTCCACACCAGTCTTTTTGAAGATTTTAATTTATCTTTAAATAGTGACACTATATCATCGACACCATCAAGTATACATACTCTACCAAACACTTCATTTTTTGGTGATCCTATTCTCGTATCTTCTCCAAAACAAGAGCAATTCAAAAAGCCATTACACAATAACAAGGCAAGGATATTATCTATAATCATGATAAACTTCCAGAGTATTAGACCCAAACGTGAGGCATTCTGGAGCATGCTGGTAATTCAATTGATGGATATACATGTAACTATCCAACTACCATCAGTCAACAGTTTATAGAAACATTTAGTGATCTTGGATGTCAGCAAGTCATCGACTTCCCAACACTGGTAATAACATCCTTGACATCTTTGCAACAAATAGACCATCCCTTCTTAATAAAGCAAGATCACTTCCAGGACTTGGCGATCAAAACATTGTATTAATTGACATCAACTCTACACCACATCAACGCCATCCAGTGAGGAGACTTGTATATCTTTGGTCTAAAGCAGACACCGAGACTATTAGTTCTGATTTAACAGAGAATCTGGATAAATTTCATCAACATGCCATCAACAATGCACCAGTAGATTGATGTGGAATGACTTCAAGAAGATCTGCACTCATTCCATTAATACACATGTACCATCAAAGTTCACTTCAAATCGCTTCAATCAACCATGGTGTGATAGAAACATCCAGATAGACAGACTCAGTAGAAGGAAACGTCGTGCACATAGGATAACAAACACCCAGAATGATTGGAGAAAACATCGTGAGGCCCAGAGTACCAACAGGAAAGAGTGTAGAAGGTCATACCACAAATATATTAACAATATGTTAGGAGAGGAGGGCCATTCCAACAAGATGATATACTCGTACATCAAGAATAATCGCTGTGACAGTTCAGGTGTCTCTCCCTTGCGGAAAGAGGGTTTGCTTCACTCCTGTCCAAAGAATAAGGCAGATATCTTGAATCAAAAGTTTTCATCTGTCTTCTATACAGAGTGACTTAGTAACCTTCAGGAAGAGACGATCATGCGAAAGTCAACTGATAACAACAATCTGTGATCTAGCAAGCAGCCTCGACCAACACCAACAGATAGATGCAGTCTTACTTGACTTCAGCAAAGCCTTTGATAAAGTCCCCCACCATCGATTAGCCATCAAACTGGAGCACTATGGTGTGAGAGGACAGACCCTGGAGTGGATCAAAAGCTTCCTATCTGACAAAAGAAAACAAGTAGTTGTTGATGGAGAGATGTCATCACCTGCTCCTGTAACATCTGGAGTACTTCAGGGCACAGTGCTTGGCCCACTGTTGTTTCTGGTTTACATCAATGACCTATCATCCCGAGTCAAATCAACAACAAGGCTATTTGCTGATGATTGCCTGCTGTACCGTAGGATAGGTTATGAGGAGGACACAAGCACTCTCCAGGAAGACTTGAACCAGCTACAAGTATGGGAGTCTGAGTGTCTGATGAGCTTCAACCCAGAAAATGTGAAGTTATACGCATCACCAGCAAAAGCCAACACCACCACTTCTTTCCTGAGTCGTAATCTTTCTGGTTTCTCACGGTCCATCAAGGCAACCGTAGTGAGACCTCAGGTGGAATATGCCTCTACAGTATGGGATCATACCAACAAGACCCACATCAATAAGATAGAGGTGGTACAACGAAGAGCTGCACGTTACATCATGGGCGACTATAGCAGGGAGAGCAGCATAACATCCATGCTCAATCATCTCCATCTTGATACCCTGCAGTCCAGGCGGATAACATCACGAGCCACCATGACGTACAGGATTGTGAATGGATACATCGACACCATCTAGTCATTTACATCCTGTAAACAGCAGTAACACTAGAGAAAATATTTAGAGATTCCTACAACCATTTTGTCACTTAAAATGTTATCAGGACTCCTTCTTTCCAGCCGGAGTAGTAATCTCAAACTCACTTACACCAGTTATAGTTCACTCGAGGCCTTCAAAGCCAGAATTTAGCCCCAGATCCTACCCATTTAAATTATTGAAGATTTTATCCAGATTTTAACGAGATCTTCCTCAGCATGATTTTAATCTTTTAAACATGTGCAATAATGCCAAACTTTGGAACCAGGCACATTACTGGAAGAAGAAGAAATTTATTCATTTAGTATTATCAAGTAGTTACTATCTTGAGGTAACCCCAGATGTCAAATTATAGTAAAAATGTTAACAAATTTGCCAGTGTATTATTTATCAGAGGTCACAAGAATTTTTTGCTAAATAAGAGTAGTTCCTCTTGCAAAATTAGGTAAAAAAAAATAATCATGAATATCTTTAGCAATATACTATCAAGTACAATGCATGATCATGACCTTGGAGTAGGTACATGTACGGGGAAATCATAATACATGTAATGATAAACAGATTACTTTTTGTCCCGCTTGATGTCTTACCAACTGGAGGTGGAAGTTGTGAAGATGGTTGGAGACCAGCCTCCTGAAATAAATAGAATTTACAATAAATTGATGACATTTACATTACCAAACACTTCAAAAGTTTTACTTTAACTTTGTGTACATGTAGTATGTATTTCTTTGATATTTGCAACATAATATTAATTTTTCCAAGTGAATGGTCAAGTGCCTAATATGCAAGTCAATTCCACAGGTTTTCATCTGTTCCTCTGGGGTGGGGGTTATGAACATAACTTACATGGAATGCAGTTGCATTTAAACTTCAGAGATGATAGCATCTTAATTTTTTTTTTTAATTTTTCTATTTTACACAGAGATGTAAATATTAGGAATCACTGTCTAGTTTGCTGGGCATTTCAGGAAAATAAATGCAGAAATATGCGATAATTCCTGCATTACAGCATATTAGCTCAAGTTTCCAACAGACTTTAATGCCCTGGCCTACCCACAAATTAAAACAATGAATTCCTTAAATCAACTCCACAGTTCTTTCAAAATGTATGCTAGGTTTTCATTTAATCACACAGGTCTAAGACATCAAAAATAAATTCATTAACAAAATAGAAACCTGTTCCTGATGCCTTCTCTGTACTCTGGCTACATATTTATCTCCCTTGTTGTTCCGTAGGAAGGCACACCGCGGGAACCATCTGGCATGCTCCATCCATGGTTCATCAGTCCTGTCCCAGTTCCTTAGGCCTCCACCACAGAAAAAACACCTGGCATAGTCCCCATATCCTGTAAAAAAAAAAAAAAACATGAATTTAACATTTACCATTTTCAAACAAATGGTTAACCTTAAAATAAAAAGTATACATACTATGATACATTCTATGATTAAAATCATTAATAGCCCAAAACACACTGCAAATAGTAAAATGTGTCCCATTCTAGGATCAGCCTTAACATGCTAAAGGAAAAGGATTAAAATCTGTTTTTCTACATAAATTCTTCAGGTATTAATTCCCCTAATGATAAATCTTTTGAAAAATGGGGATCTGACTTTTTAAATCTAAGAAGCAATGTAATGTCAAACCTGCATAGAAATATCCAGCTCTTGCCATTTCCCTTGGTGTTTGAGCCATGTGTGAAGGCCACCCATCAAACGAGCTTAGTCTGGTGGAATACACAGCATAGGCCGGGTACTTAGGCTTGTCAAAGTTAATCCCCAATGGGTCAAGCTGAGCCAGTCTCTCGGCAGAGGTGGGGGCAGGAGGGTTGGCACCACTCTGTGGGGGCCCGGGAGGATTAGCACCACCTTGTCTGGTAGCAGAACTTGAAGCTGATGAACTGGTGTTTGTTGTGTTTTGACCACTGGTTGTCTGGCTCGACTGTCTGGATTGGGTTGATGCTGGGGGCACATTTACAGCAATGGTTACACTAGTAGCCTGTGCTCCTCCAACAGGACTTGGTTCTAACGGTCTGGACTGGGGCTGAATCTCCCCTCCTGCTAGTCCTGGAGCTGATCCTGGTTCTGATGAGGAACTAGATGTAACAGAAGGCTCAGGTTGTAGGGAGGATACCGTCTCCTCTTCAGTGCCTGGCACCTCCTGGACTGCTCCCTGACTGGCGCTGGCTGCTGCCTTAGCTCTGGCTTGTTCTTCTTTTTTTTTCTTTTTCTTGTCTCTCTTGAGTTTGGATTTACTAGGTGTTTGCAGGGAGGCTTAAATAAAAATTAATGAAAAAAATATTCCATATTTATTCTAACTATAAAACATGATAAAACAAGATCTTCTTTAATACACTAACCACACTGTTGAATAGATGTACTAAATTGAATGGGGAACACGGCTTTTCAAAACAAGACATGATATATGGATATTGAATTTAGAATGATGTTTGATTATAAGAATCAAATTGAACCCAAATAAATCTAAATTTTGCATATAATCGATACTTGATAGCATTTTTTTTCCCAGTAAAATTACACTGTATGTGTATTTTTATTGCAAGTTCAGTTAAAAACATGCTTATTCAAACAATCTTAGACAATTGTTTTTCATTATTAAAGAAATAAATGATGGTAGCTTTATTTGACTGCATAACAGTCAGATGAGGCCATCATTAAAATTTGTTTTGTGTACTCCGACCCATATTTTTATAAGTTGGATACGTAGATCAGTAAATAGGTAGTAAATCAAACAAAATATGTCTTATTGTTGGTTTTATTCAATAAGATCAAAATAAGATTTTAAGGTACCCAACCCACATTAGGACCAAATTTTCTAACCTTAACTATATGAATTATTAGTAAGATATCCTGATATTATTTTAAAGCATTTTAGAGTAGAAATGGATTTACCATGAGAAATTTTCAAAAGATTTATTACCCAAGCAGAAATTAATTATTGAAGATCTATTGCATTGAAGTCTATGGAAGGAAGTACGTTTTTCAAGATAAAAAAATAAATACTACAAATGTCAAAAAATGCTCTGGTGGAAAGATGTATTTGATCTTTGGGAATAAACAAAAAAAAAAAGAAATAATTTTTTTACCAAACAGATTTTTTTAAAATTAATTTTTATTGAGTAAAATCAAAGGGAGATAACTCGTCAAGAGCAGGAAAAGGTAATAAAGTAGGACATGTCCCGCTCTTATATTCCGATACTCAAAGATGAAAATTAGTTCTAAATACACCGAGTATTCAGCCCATACATATCTATTATGCATTCAATTCCATTGAATCTGAGGCTAATATGAATCGGATACCTTAATGCAAATGTCCAGAAAAAATTTTCAGTAAAAGTTTACTTCAATTTTCATCAGCTGTTAATTAAAAGTAGATTGGAGCCATGTCCTAAATTTCACTCGTCAGTGAAAATTTTTCCTTGATATCAGTAAACAGACAAATATATATGCAGAGCCCTGATTTTGAATGCAATACTTTAAGATAAAAAATTGTGATTTAGCAGTTTTAAACAAACAGAATTCATAAAATGATGTCAAATAAGGATATTTATAACATTTTACCTGGCTCCTGTTCCGTCCCCTGGTCCACACCTGCATCATCAACTGATGCCTCAGCAAGTGCTGGCTGTGGTGACTGCCTTGCCTGGTCTTGTGGTAAATCCGTGGTATTAGATGATGCCCCAGTACTCCCAATGTTTAGGTTTCGTAGATGCTCAGTTGCAACTCTCTGTAGATCGTCCTCGTTTCTGTTTGGCACTGGTGAGTTGTTTCTTCTAGAACCATGAATAGGAACATTATTGGTTGGTCTTCCATTAATGAAAGGACAATCAGGTGATATTTGTCTGTGCACTGCCTCAATATTGGATTCTGCACTCCATTCGTTATAAGTCTGGCGACAGAAATAGCATCGTGTTTCTATGGTATGTCCTGTGTAGTAGAAGCCATTGTTAGCTAGTTTTATGGTAGAAATGCCAACATTAGCTGGGTAGGTTTGAAAAGTAATAATTCTGAACCATTCCAACCTCATCCTTGACTCTATTGCCTCCTCATCTCCATTTATAACTTGCTGTAAGAAGGTATCCAAGACTGCCTCTTGTTGTTGTTGTTCTATTGGACGTACCTCTATTAATGAATCAATCTGAAGGTCTCTGGAGATTTTCAGAAAAGAGTGCAGAAAGGAAAGCCCTTTTGGTATGGATTGAACAAGGAACAGCAAGTCTGGAATGGACATGGTTTCAACTTCCTTTGAAGAGGGTAAAGAATGGTGGTGACATTTTTGAGATTTCTGATAATCTTTAAAGAATTTGATTGTTCCCATCCTAATTCTCTTCATTTCTTCAACATTCAGGTTGCGTGGGGCTCTAATTCTTACATCTTTGCTACTTTTCTGAGACAATGAGCTAGAATTTTTTGACAGTCTGAGGTATATAACATATTGAGGTAAGATTGATGAAGAACGAGATGAATTTTGACTTGTTGATTTACTGATGAGAGCACCAATGTCTTCTTGAATATGTGGACTAGAGTGAATATCCTCTGGAATGTGCCGAATACATGGGCCATTTCCTAGAAAATTTGAGTTTAATGGAACATTCTTTTGGTCATGTGTACTAGGAGAAACACTCCCTTGAACATGTGGATTAGATTGAATATTTTCTTCAGCATGTGAACTTGGTGAACCATCCTCTTGAATAAGCTGACTTGGTGAAACACCCACTTGAACATGCGAACTTGGTGAAACTTCCACTTGAACATGTGGACTTCGTGAAACACCTTCTTGAATATGTGGATTAGTTTGAACATTTCCTTGAACATGTGGACTAAGTGAAACAACCTCTTGAATATGCGGATTCCTTTGAACATTTTCTTGAACATGTGGTCTTGGTGAAACTCCCTCTTGATAATGTGGATTTGTTGGAACTTTTTCTTGAATATGCAAACTAGTTTCAATGTCCTCATTAGTGGGTGACTGGGTCCCATTTGAATAGTGAACACAACCAGGATTTCCACATTGAACATTGTTTTGTACACAATCAATATGGTTATTTTGCCAAACTCTTTTATGTAAGTCCTCCCCTGAATCACAATTTAATGTTGCACTACTTATTTGTTGTCTATCTTGGTGAACAGAAGTGATCTCTTCAAAGTCCACTTTCTCAATTTTCTTTCCTAATATTATAGATAATAATTTTTTTACCTCTTTCTCACCCAAACTTCTCAAAGTCTCTGTAAATTTCGAATAAGTGTCTGACTCATCATTTGAAGCCGTTTTAGAGTCTTGCTCAGACTCTTCCTCTTTTTTAGAGCCCACAATATGTTTTACATTCAAATGAAGTGGCTGGCACATTAATTCACAAATAGTGTTGCTTCTGCACATCATAATTTGTTGTCTACAGCATGTAGATGGTTTTAATGGTAGACATGATTCCTTGCAAGGGTATTCCTGCATTAAATTTATCTGTCCATAGAAAAGTAAAATGTCCTCCCTGCTTTCAAATTGATCCCAAGTATCATTACAGATAGGCATCTTTTTACCAAGTATATAGCTTTTATACAACAATGACAGCCACCAGTCAACATTTAACAATGTATCTGTATCTGCCATATCTGTAAGCATACAATTAGCTGCCCCTTTTGTTGATTTCACTTCTGATCCTGGCTCATAGCATTTCCAGTTTTCAGTGTTACAATTTGGAACCATTAGATTTGGAATCCTGACTTGCAATAGAGGACTCAATAAAGATATTTCTGGAAGCATCATTCCTGTATTCAGTTTACTCTCCATATGATCGTCTGCATCAATAATTTGGAGGGTTCTCTTGTGAAGCCCTTGATATTTTTCCAGTGACTCTCTCTGTAGTACTGCTCCAAAATCCAAGTACTTCACAATATCAGCCATTCTCAGATTGCAAAACACTGATCTCTCAAACTCTATACACCTCTGAGTATTTACATATATAACATTGTAATATCCTGCAAAGCAAGTTAAGCTATTCCAGCTTTTATAATCCTCAGGACCTTTGCTCTTAGAAACTATCATATTTTCCAGTGTCAAGCAGTCATGATTTATAAGATTACCGGTAGAGAGAGCAGCTTTCATTTTCATTTCATTGCAGAAAATTTCCATGAAATTTCCTCCACAGTGTTGACATGATATAATGCTATTTTTCCTAGAGAATTGTTGCACATCTTCACAGATTTCTACATCAATGCCTGCTGTGGTGTTCCTTTCAATTAAAGGGATGCTACTATTCTCCAAACAAGGATCACCATTCCCACACTTAGGATCCATGTCCTTTGTAAAACAATTATAAATATTCTGTCCAAGAAAGCATGTCCATACATCAGCTATGTGTACAAATGTATTTATTACAATCTTAAGCTTCAACTTTGCAAATATTTCTGTTCTACTTCCATCTTGATAAGTAAGAAGAATTTTCTGTTCCATTGCACTGAACACTCTATCCACAGAAACTGCAGTAAATTCTTGTAAATTTTTTAGTTCCAACTCTCCCAGCTTTTTATATTTTACAAGATTTTCACATGTTGAACTCTCTTGATGGTCCAAATTTAAAGAAATTCTATTGGCTTCCTCTGCATGAACAACAGTTGGAGGATAACTCTCCAAGGAGCTATGGATTTCATCTCTGTCAGTTGGCAATGAATTTTCTTGCAATTCCACTAAATCTAAAGTAAATTGCTGACAGCTCTCTTCAGGGTCAATTATGCTTATTTGTTCGGAAGAAGACTTCATTCTTGCCACCATATTCTCAGAATTTGGAAGTTGATGGTTACTATTCTCCTTAGGTAACTTTGTTATTAGCATTTGATCTTCAGAAAGTGATCCACAGCTTAATAAATTATTATCCTCAAGTGACAAACTACAATTTCTAGAAGAACTACAAATATTAAAATCAATTTGAGGCACATTCTCCATACATTTATGCGTATGACTACTTGTTTTCTGACATTCTGTAGATTCACATTTAAGGTCATTCCTTTTTTCTTGTTCTTTCAGGGATTGCAAGTTTAAGAATTCATAAGATTGTGACCTTGCTTCCACTCTCTGACTGCCAAAAGTATCTAAATTTTGCTGCATATTTGAGTTCCTAGTTATAACTTGACTCTCACTCACCCATTGTGATGTGCCTGCTTGCCGACAACTTCCACTCTGTGAACAAAGTCTTTTAGATAAAGTGCTTCTCTCTTCAGGCAAATTGCCCCCGGAATGAACTTCTTTAACAAATACTGACTCACTCTCAAGAAGATTATCAGTGACAGAATCACCATTTTCATTGGAAATTTCAAACCCAACTGAACAACTTGAGAGGGAAACTGCATCTACTGAAATATTTCTTTCTGATGTAATGCTATCTTTGTCCAAATCAAGATCATTCCATGTTTGTGTTACATCATGAAGATTTTGCTTATCTTCATTTTGACATGGTGTAACTGAAGTTTTAAGCTCATCATCTGAAACCAGTTTGTCTGATGGTTGACATATCTGGGAACCAGCAGGTTTTATACAAAAATCCACCTCACTTCCCCAAGACTTATCAGTACAAGAATTAATGCCATTTGTTTTATTATGATGCCTCCTTTTTGTTTCATGTAAATCCTTATAGCAGTCCATCTGATTTGCATAATCTTTCTCATCCTGTTCACTGTATACCTCTTCAGAATTGTCCAAAGGAACTTTTTCAATCCTATACAGAGACTTACATAGTTTTACCTCAACTCTGAATTCTTCATGCTTTGTTTTCAATCTACAATTACCCCCAGATATCTCAAAAGTAATTTCCTCCTCTTGTCCATCCTGCCTGTGATTTTTCTTTTTCAACCTCACCTTACGAAAGAATTCCCTCGCTTTCTCCAACATTTTTGCTTCTTTAGTTTTCTTTCCCCCCTTTGTATCTCTGTCAGTATCTTTCTTTAGTTATTGCTTATTTTCAGTCTGCAAAAGAAAAAGATTTTAGCTATACAAGAGGCCCATATCTCAGTATTCACCTGAATCATCTTGACCATTCTTCAGAAAACATGGAAAAGATGTTTGGAATTTTTGGGAGGTTCATTTTTGATTCAGTAAAATTTATCTTTCATCTCTGTACCAATTATAGTTTCCCTAGTTCCCCAAATGGTACAGTAAGGTTTAAAATTTGCCTTGCTGTTCTGGAGAATATTTTTAAAAGATTTTAATTTACATACCTTTACAAGATGACCATATAGCAACCACTTACTTGGTTTGCTTGATTAAAATTAGTTGGAAATTGGTGATCACTACAGTAAGTTAAAATATATATATATACTGAAAGGACTAAATTAAATTAAAACTATTATTTCGAATCTGTTTTCCAGCATTGTTATCAAACATTTTAATTCATCTTTAATCAACAATTACCTAATCTTGTGCGACTTGGACTGATAATTCATGAGTTATTGAAATGGATGTGTCAGTACCCCCAACTTTAAAATAAATTATCATTATCTCCCTTGTACATCAGTAACAACCTGGATTTTCCTGTGAATTAAGATCACCACAGCATGTATCTTTCTCAAAGTATTATTATTCAACCCTTTCAAAGGCAGTCATAATGGTTGAGGGTAGTTCAAATACAACAAAATTCCCCCCTTCCAATGAATTTTCAATTTAGGATAGAATTTACAGAAACCAGCTGGTTTGGTACATGTGAATGTAAGAAAGTCTCGACAAACACTAGCTACATTTTCCCAGCATGAACATGATAAAAACATCACGCATACCAGAGTAAAATCGACATACATATAAAGTTACCAAGCTCACAGCCCAAATTAGAGCACAGTGTTTCCGTCAATTTTAGAGTGGAAATTATGAGGATGATTGTCTATTGTATAAATATCAGTTTCAGTTATAAATATAATGCCTTGGAAATAAGCGAGGTGGCTTGATGAAAAGTTCTATTTTGATGTGATGTTGTGAGTCAATGTCACCATCATGGTTGGTTGGAAACCTACCGTATATACTCGCCTATAAGTCGGTCCTCCTATAAGTCGGTTGTATTTTTTGAGATTATTTGGCAGGGATATGTCATTGACCCGCATATAAGTCGGTACAACTTTTAGCCACAATCTGATGACAATTCTGATGATTTACCCTGATTTCAATAAATATTTTTGTTTGAATGAAGTCAATATTTAACTTTAAATCATAAAAAATGCCCTTTAAAGATTAAAAAAATATAATTATTAAAAAGATGTACATAAAATACGTAATTAATGTATACTCAGTAATCTTTTAATACATAAATGATATAATATATCAATACTTTCTTAAACAATAGCTGTTGAAAAATGTTTAAAGAATGCTACAAATCGCCATCCAGAAAAATACCAGTCTTTTTATGTCTCGTCTATAAGTCGGTCATAGACTTTTGTAGTAAAATTTAACTCCCAAAATACCGACTTATAGGCAAGTATATACGGTATACATGTACTGACTGCAAATATGGAAATCCATGTCTATAACTCTAATGCATCATTTGGCTCTACAAAATGTGATAACAAAATTATCATCATCATTCAATATACACGTTTTTGGCTTTTTATCACCTTCTCTACATGACGCCATGCATTTCATGGTTGAGTAGTTTTGACCAGTCATTTTAGTGCAAAGTAACCAAAATACATATCTGAAAAATTTTCATTATTTTCAGCTACACAGTCAAAATTATTTTGCATATTGTGTTATCCATGTTATCATGCGTTTCTTTTTCCTATCAGTATAATTATTTTTATTTTTTAAATACATTGTACTACATATGTTATTTCATATTCAATTCTACAAATACAAGTTTCTGAATCTTAGTATATCATATATCAATTAATCTGGAGAAATGCAATATCTCCTTTGTTTTTTGACGAAATTCTTTGAAATTTAAAATATAGTCATGCATTAGGATATCCTACAAAATGATATAGAAAAAAAATCATGAAATCACGCGCATGCACGTGTGCTGCAATCTGATTGGCTGAAACTTTAAATAACTATTTATCCTTTGTTTTTTGACGAAATTCTTTGAAATTTAAAATATAGTCATGCATTAGGATATCCTACAAAATGATATTAAAAAAATCATGAAATTACGCCCATGCACGTGTGCTGAAATCTGATTGGCTGAAACTTTAAATGGCTATAACCTTGTTTTTCAACCAAACAGGATGGGATTTAGAACATAGATAGATTTAAGGGACTCCTACAAGAAGGTATTATCATAATGCACGTGCACGCACGTGTGTGCATTTGAAACAAGTATATTTAAAAATACTCTTGAATGAGTGATTTTTATTACTTTTGGACTGAATGCTCTAATATATAGTATATTGAAATATATAAATAGTGTAGACAAGATGATATGGTCATAACGCACATGCATTCACATGCGCTTGGGTGCAATGCTAAAAATTGAATATAATTGATATCCTTCTGGGAAAACATTGTTAAAGTCAAAAATGCACAGAGTTTGTCTTATTTAATGAAGCTTACAGGGGATATGGCACCGAAAGGGAGTTGGGGAGCGTTAGGGGAACATCTGTAACGGTTCCCATTACAATTAGCACTAGTTAACATTGTTAAATAAACAATGAAACTTATCTGAGTGCATTGAATAAACAAATTTGACATTGTTATCCCGCTTCTCAAAATTTAGCGGTAGGGAATCTTTTATAATCGGAAATTTTGGTGTTTTTTTTCAAATCGGGAAATCAGGGCAATTTTTCTTTCCCGATCGGGAAGGCGGGATGAAAGGGTAAAATCTGGAGGATCCCGCCTAAATCGGGAAAGTTGGCATGTATGTTTTAGTATCAAAAGATTATGAAAGTGACATTTTTAACAAGCATACCTTCCAAATTACAATAACTTTCCAAAAATTTAAAATATGGCGATAAACAAAAGAAATTGCATATGTCTCAGGGTAATACTATGGTATGTACGTATGATAGCCGTGTTTCACCTGAAAGAAAAACTTATCAAAATCCCATTGTGATGTAAAATATGCATCCCTTTCTCACAGAAATTTATTTTAGGAAAAAAGTTTGTATTAGAGATAGTTTTCGATGGACCCAAATTTAGCAAAAGTTACCTCCCGTTGGCCGCCATATTGGAGGTCGACTCGGTGAGTTTTCTTCTTTGTCTTACCAAGTTTAAGGAAATATAGCAGAAATATTTGGTGGAAAATCTTTATTAAATATTTTTTTCTGAATAAAGGAGGCTTCCAAAAATTTATATACTTCAGAAAATAATGATTCCTAATTCAAAATCGCAAATATAAAAAATTAAAATTGGTTGAACAATGAAGGAATATGAGCATTTGGACCTCCAGTATGGCGACCGAAGGGAGCTAACTTTTGCTAAATTTAGGTCATATGAAAACTATCTATATTCCCCCAAATATGGTAATAGTTCGTTTGGGATATAATACCCCCAAATGGGCTATAAATTTACAGAGCAAAAATTGAAAATTTTTATTTTGTAAAGAAATCATAAATCCACATCAAAACACTTAAAAAAGAATAACTTTTGGAAAGGAATTTTTTTTTCTGCAACCCTACCGTTTGTAAGATTGATCCCTAAGAAGTTAAGGAACCTACAAGGGATTTTAAATCTCCTAAACGATGGGCAATATACAGGAAATTTTGTTAACAAAAGTTATTCCTTTTTAAGTGTCCTGATGCGGATTTATGATATTTACAGCCAAAATAAAAAAATTAAATTTTTGCACTGTAAATTAAAATTTAATTTATAGCCCATTTGGGATATTATATCCCAAACGGACTATTATTTCTCGCATAATCACCAGTGTAAGATTAACTTGTCCGGTGTGAGACAGCAGTGTGAGATTTTTCTGTGTTACACTGTGTATTACTACGCCACAAACGAGAACGTAAACATTCCGTCATTATATAAAGAAATTGTAACAATGTAAAAAAAATATAACACATGATTAAACTGTTATCATTTAACTTAGTATTATAAACTTATTTTCATTCAAAATATTGTCGTATTTTCACTTTTTTAATGGCACTATTTTTAGATCGCGGAATGATTCTTCTTTTACGCTGTTGGATAGATAAGTTTTTTATTCCCAGTTTTTATCTTTCTGATTAATTTACACGGACTGATAGAAAATTATTTTATCAGTTTACACTATGTGTAAACCATTTTCAGGTACGTCTCTCCGATGGTGTATTCAGATTTTTGATTAGATGGAAAATTAAAATATTTTTTTAGCCCCATCAAGGCGACGTCATTGACAGGCCGTTATTTTGGATAAAATAATGCGAGAAAAATAATCATTCATTACATACTCGTGTGGGAATAGTGAAATTCCACCTCGGGACCAAGATTCACAGTCTAGGACTCGGCAAAGCCTCGTCCTAGACTGTGAATCTTGTCCCCTCGGTGGAATTTCACTATCCCACACTCGTAGTAATGAATGATTCTATTAATCCCATTTGGGTGATTGGTCCCAACCTGTTCATTTGGTAACAAAATAAAGCTACCTCAGGTTGGTAAATAAAACTAAGTAGGGAAATCAAGCTACCTAGGTAAATCTAGTGATTGTACCAAACCTTTTGATTGTAATGGACCTTTATTTGTATATATTTTTTTAATTTCATCCATGTATTGATGTAAACAAGTAACAAAACATTCTTGTATAATGTGGCACAAAGCTAGTTTAGTGCCAAGAGAGATGAATAACAATACCAATTTACCTTATTTGTTTTGCTATATGACACTTCTCTTGCTTATGGAACCAGGAGCACAAAAGCTTCATCAATACAAGTCAGGTGAACTAAAAACAATGCGGCATGCTGCCATGATTCATTCTGCCATGCACGCTTTTACAACACATCGGGCTCGGGGTTTGGGGTAAAACCCAGGGGTAAACTGTATTTCGCCCCCAATCGCTTTCAGACCTTTCACGTTCTTGCAGTGTACCATTTTTTTCCCAAAAACCAAAATTGGTCGTCAGAATTATAAATATAATATTGAACATGTATATTTATATCTCTAGACTCTCTACATCCATAAATGGTAATAATTATGCATGATGAATATGATCAACAGGATAGAAATAATGATGACGTGTGATGTCTGGATTTGAGCAACGTGTCATTTATGTAGCTTTCTTCCTGTTTCATTTTTTTAAATACTTCAAAAATAGGTTATTTTTAACTATCTTTCTGCGAATAAAATACAACCGACGTTTCCTGTTTGACATAATATGGAAAAAAGAGAACAAGCAGTAAAACATGTTATGTTTTTTCTAAACATTGAAAAGATTGTTAATCAGAATGTTCTTAATCTTTCCGTTTATAAATTACGAGATACGTAATATATTTACCTCCATAAAGTAAATCTGTAAAAATATATATGTTTTTCATATTTAATATATAAAGTTGCTTATCATCATGATCATTTACTATGGAAAAAACGACAGGTCCCTTTTTTTTAGAACATCGAATTTTACTTCTCGGATAAAAACTTGTAATACATTTTTTTAATATAGGTGATGCATGTCTCTAACTTCAATTTGCATTTTATGCAGCCAACATTTACTTGCGGCATTGATCAAGTTTAAAATTGTATCGTTTTTGATTGATTTTTATCCGACTAGAAGTTTTCAAAATATTCTCGACCATCGTCTCCATCAATTAAACGCAAGCCTTTTCACACATATTGTAGCGGTTTGATGATTAAGACTCATTTTCATTGTTTACTTTATATATTTCCCGGGCGACAATTGATGGTTACATCATTGTTTACTTGTATATATTTATTATAACGAAGGAAGAGAAACACAACATTTAAACTTGATACTTTGCAACAGCAATGAAAAAAAATATTATTGCCTTTGGTTCAAATTAGTCTTTTTCTATTCAAATTTTATTGTAATCAGACCAATATAAACGGTGTAGCATTTTGAAAATACTTCAAAGAAACTATTTTCTATAATCATGGCTTCACCTTTTAATCAAAATATAAAAGATAGAATTATGTACTGTAGTGTAGTCTACTTGCGTGAACCACGTTTACTTATATAGAAATCCTATCAAAACTGTAGGAAAAGTAGCATTTTGAAATTATACCGGGGGTATTTCAATGAAATTTCTGTTTAGTAACCATGGAAGCACCTGTCAAGAAAATAAAAACCCGATATAAAAAATTATGTATTTTATTGTAGTTTAACTGTGTGCCAAGTTCTATTGAAATCAGAACAAAATTGTCGGAGGGGTTACGGTATCATTTTAAATAAAATATTAACTATGGCAACACCGTTCATTGAAATCAAAAACCGATACACAGAATTATGTATCTTTGAAGTTGAATTCTACTTGTTCCAAGTATTATTGAAATCACACCAAAACTGTAGGAGCAGTAACATTTTGAAAAAAAAAAAATCAAAGACATTTCTAATTTTAGTAACCATGGCGACCCCCGTTTATTGAATTAATTTAAAAAACTGATACAGATATGTACACAGAATTGTGTATTTTTATTAGTGTATTCTATATATGTGCCAAGTTATATTGAAATCAGACAAAAAATATGTGAGGAGTAACACTTTGAAAAATTTATCACAGAAGGACGGACAGACGGTCGAAGAGCTAAAAAGCATGCAACAGAATAGGGTGACAAGATCCCCACCCTACTCCTGGAAGTGATGAGTTGAACAGTTTAGAATCTACACTACCCCAGGGAGTTTCCGCATTAAATGTTTCAAATTATTTGGCCAACTGCACGGTTCTTGAGATGAGTATTTTTCCTATTTATAGCTATGTAAATTTAATTGGAATCCCTTTTGTGGCCCCATGCTCTTCCCCAGACCGGGTCATGATTTGAAAAACTCAGAATATACATTCCACATTAAACTAGATGTACTGTGAGCAATGAGCTCACTAAATGATACCCCCCGCCTTCCATATGGTGATAACTGATGACAAAGTCCATGATTTGCCATGGCCGGGAAACCCAAAATATGTGTCAGATCAAAAAGTAAAATAGGAGGTGCACAATGGCAATATGTAATAAAGATTCTGTGAAAGTTTCATTAAATTTCACTCACTGGTATAAGAGGAGTTGCGGATAAGAGATAGGTACCCTAAAGCGTAACAGACGGACGGACGGACGGAATTAACGATTACATGTACTATATACCCTCCCGCTTTTCAAGCGGGGGTATAAAAAAATCCTGGCCCAGGCTTTCTTCTTCAGATTTTAAATATTAAACGTATTCGTATTCGTAATAAACATGTATTTTGAAATGTAACATTTTTTATTCCTTAATAACAACCCCCCCCCCCCCCCCCCCCCCCCCCCGTTGGGTTATGATTTTTACAGTTTAAAATCTGCACTACCCAAGATATTTCTACATATTAGTATATTTTTTTCTGGCCCACTGTTTGGAATATATTGATTTGCTCCTTCCTACAAGAAATCGACTTGACATTTTATTGGACCGATAAAAACTAGAGGTACTGTGAGCGATGAGCTCACTAAATGATACCCCCCGCCTCCCATATGGTTATAACTGGTGAAAAAGTCCATGTTTTCCTGTGGCCGGGACACCCAAAATATGTGTCGGATCAAAAAGTAAAATAGGAGGTGCACAATGGCAATATGTAATAAAGATTCTGTGAAAGTTGCATCAAATTTCATTCAGTGGTATGAGAGGAGTTGCGGATAAGAGATGGGTACCCCAAAGCGTAACAGACGGACGGACAGACGGAAGGACGCACGGACAGACAGACGGACGGACAGACGTACAGACGGACGGAATTAACGATTACTATATATCCTCCCGCTTTTCAAGCGGGGGGTATAAAAATCGCACAGATTTAATTGTGTAATCTTTTATTCTATTCTATATTCTTTTCGATATATTATATTGTGCATGCATTTATACTTTATTGCATTAAACATGTGTTATAATAATATAATATTTATTTAAAATATTATTATTATACGTACTGCTCCTGGAAACTCCATTAGCAAAATATTGATGTTGCAAGACACGATTTTTAAAAAAGAATTTAGTAAGCATTTCTGTGTTTTCGTGAATAGTTATAATTTAAATCAAATTTTCTTTTTCTCGTTATAGTTTTCAGTAAATTTTGCACTTGCTTGTTTATTTCAGTCTCATAAAATCTTTGAAGAAAAATGAATGAATTACTTATAAAAATGCTTTAAATCAATACTATATATATAATATAAACATACATACACTGTGTAAATATGTTAACTAATTCCGAATATTCTCTCTATTCTAACACACAAATTCTTGAGGTTTATTTTAATAACATATATTATAACAACTGTGTAATATCGTCCATGGGGGAAACTGGAAAATATATATTATGCATATGCATGTTATGCACATATCCATCCAAATCAATCCTCTTCAATTAAGGATGTTTCTTTATTGCAAGTTGGTTGACACTGGTTGAGTGGTTCTACAGGGGAAGATGACATTTTTTATTAAACTAGACTAAATTTATGTACAAACACATTTATAACAACAGAATGGGCAGACAAACAGACACAATTTAAACACTGCTAAAACACTGATAAAACAAAGACACAATATATTCAACAGCATCACACATGCAATCTTTTTCTTGTTAATTTAAATAGGATCTAATATTTTTTTCTTTGTTTGTATTGAAAATATTTTGAATGTAGCCGGTTAATGATGCTGGTTTAATTACTTGTAATTCATAAAATTAAAGTATAAATGTTAAAAGCGAGGGTTGATCCAAAAGTAATGTCACAACCATGATAAAATTGCTATAAATCGACGTAAAGCAACAAAATTATACTTGATGGAAGCTTTATTTATTTCAAATCAGACCTGAAAATTTTAAAGGAATATGATTGTATACTTTCCAAGATATCTTATCTTAAACAATGTGCCCCATGATAAACAATGTATGGATGTATAAATTGCTATGGGCTGATGAATCCCTCATGATCTTTGCAGGAAAATGAAAAAAAAATATTTGGTATTGTTCAAAAATTTAATTTCCAAGTGTTCTTTCTGGCATATTTTATTTTATCAAATAAAATCTGAAACATGACTACTTAAAATAGTTAATTAGTTGCAGAAAATATGTCAGAAAGGACACATTTAAAATAGCACGCCCAATGTACTCAGATAATACAATGTACATGCATTTATTGAAGGACTAAATTTTTTTTTTTTTTTTTTTTTTTTTTTTTTTTGATTTCATGATGTGACCAATCGAGTGGCCTGTGTGAAAATTTGCATAAACTCCGAATTATGCATAAAATTATCACGCTAGCAAATCGATTGATCATCGTCAGGATTTTTTTTTTAAATCGGACAGTTTTATATGTTCTTGATTCCACTATTCCACGTGCTACATCCCTGCTTCTGTCTCTATTTGTCCCGCCACGCACATGATTTTTTAACCGCTCATATCGACGAACCAGCATATTTATGTAGAAATACATGTATATAGAGCAGTTATCACAAATCGCGAAAATTTTGTCTCGCTAATCAAGAGTCAATGACTTTCTTGCGAAAATAAGGTGTCGCGAAAATTTAGTGATCTACAGTAGGTAGGTCATCTGCTTTATACCTAGAAGCAGAGAAGAAGTTTTTCAAACAATTTCTCCATTTTCTCTATATAACCAATTACACTGTAAAGTACATCAACTATTTGTGATTTTTTATATCGGACAAAGACATTTATAAGGAAATGTAAATATTCCTTCCTGCAAAAAAAAAAAAAAAAAAATCAATTTTTTTCAATTTATTATCTGGCATTCTTTTTTATAACTCGAACGACATAGAAATATCCTAGATATTATAGACAGTC